TATGATGTCAAGCCAGTGACCATCACAGGCTCAACTTCTCTAACCTCTGCGCCACCACTCCCCCACCTCCCTGATCTTTGTTCGTTGAAACAATATTATTTGAACTCTGACTCTTCTTCATCTCTCTTTGATAGTTATAAATAAATAATATAAATAATCTAAAGCAACATCAGCTTCTTCTCGTCTGTGTGTGCTTGTCGCTGTTGTAGCAGTGCTCTGTTAACGTGCAGGCGCTCACCTTTGTCATCACTTCCCGTTATTGCGTTTGGCAAATATCTCAACTCTTCGTCTGAGTGGTGTGATTTAAAAAAAAAAAAAGACTTTAATAATGTTATCTTTTCAACAATGCAATGATATTTAGCCCTGTGATGGACTTGCCACCTGTCCATGCCCCGCCTCTCGCATAGTGATAGCTGGATATGGACACCAGTGACCCCCACGACTGGAAAAAGATGAAGCGGGTAAAGATAATGGATGAATGGAAGGATGCCATTGGTATTTATTGCAAAAAACAGCTGTCTCAGGGACTTTTAAAAATTATTGGCCTCTTGAGTCACAAAACATATTGAATAAAAAAGAGCAAATAAACATTCAGTATGGAATGGCACAGGAAATCAATGTGGGTCATTTATGACCTATGCTGTGCATTAAAGAGGTTTGAATTTGTTGAACAAAGGGTTTAGTTTATTACATATACTGGTGATGTACTGCCCTATTGATGGTGCTTTTTGTATGTGTTTTTCAGTTTTAGTGTTCCCAATAAAGCCTGCTAATGTTCACACAGTCTGATTCTTGGTGGAAGAATGGGATGCTGTTCATTCACCTGGAGAGCTGAATAAATGGCAAAGTTTACTGAACTCAGTGAGGACGGGACACACGTGGTTAGATTAGGTAAGGAACACAAAGTAAACATCTGTCAAGCAGCTGTCTTGTCTGGCATGGAGAGCACTTATCAGTGTGATGAAGGAAACAATTTTTTTCTGAACCACTGAATTAATATAAAGCAACAATTTGCCCAGGGTTATGAAAATTGTCAAGGTGTGTTCCGTGAGTACCATGTTGGAGAAACAGAATTGTTTCCTTTATTTGTTTGTGGCACTCTGAAAAATCCTTGGCCACTCTTGTACTAACACATAAAAGTCTAACTCCAAACAATAAAACATACCAATTAATTTAACACCTAAAATAGATTAAAGTGAATGACAAATGCCCTCTATGTTAGACAACAGAATTTGAAACAAAACAAACTGGGCATAATTATTAAAAACACGGCTAAATATTCTGTTACAGTCCAGATAAACACACCAGAACAAGGTTTTAATCCAACATATTTCCTTTAAGCATTATAGGTAAACCCTCAAGTAATCTGATAAATATTACCTGCCCGAGTTTAGCTGCCTGCTGCAGAATCTCCATTTTCCTTCGATAACCCTGCCGGGCATGATAGGAGCTCCTCTGACTCTGGATCACTATCACCACCTCCCCCAAGCCTGGTAAACAAACATGAACAGAAAAGCATGAAGGTTAGGAAAAACAAGAAAACTGTGCAAGTTAAGACCAAAGTTCAAGCTCAATAATCCAAATCCAATAATGTTCAGTCAGGTCATATCCAAACAAACTGAGTCCCACAAACAGCATGCTCCAATAGTGGAAAATGCAAGTTAAGACTCATCAACCTGTTTCTTTTCTTATATTTATATCAAGCTAAACCAAAAATTTGGCATACAAAAAGTATAATCAGGAAAATAAATTCCCATGCACCAGAGAACAAACTTTAATAAAACTCTCAGAAATTAACAACTGAATGTACATCACTGATCAACAATTAGAATCGGTCCTATTCAAGATGTTTGAGGTTATTTTTTTTAAGATGACTTCAGAAACTCCAAAATGGGTATACAGTAGTCCCTCGCTACTTCGCGGTTCGTTTTTCGCGGACTCGCTCCATCACTGTTTTTCAAAATAAGATTGGACATGACACACAATTGGCTGAGTGATGGATGAGCCGCATGATCGGCATGGATTATTTATTTTAAATAAATTATTTTGAATTATTTAGCACCTCTGTGCAGCCCACACTGCAGGATCAGCTTCCTCCGCATCTGATCAGCTGTTCTCCATGCAGAGCGGAGAAGTGGGCGTGGCCAAAAACTCTTGCCAGTGGCTGAGAGCAGCAGAGGCAGAGAGAGGAAAATCACAACATTCTGTGCTCTTTTAGAGTTTAGAAACATTGTTTAGAATATTGCAATAGTGTGGGAAGGGTTTAAAATGCCTTTATATATATATATATATATATATATACTAAAATAAACTACTACTTACTACTTGTACTACTATTCCTACTTGGCGGGTCTTTACTTATCGCAAGGCTTCTGGGTACAGATCCCCATTGATAAACGAGGGACTACTGTAACTGAGACTTTTCAAAAATGGGTATAACTGAGTCTTTTTCACAGATACTGAGGTCAAGTTTAGTGTGGAAGTAGCTGAGAGTCATCCCTTACTCCTACTCCAAAAACAAACGTATCACAGGGGATCTTTGGTTAAAACTTTGACATTTCAGTTGGTTGGTGGGCCATAAGAAATCATTCAAGGAAAACTACTTTTACTTTCCACGTCATCAAATGAACATTTTAATCCTCTTCCTTTTACCAAATTTTTTTCATTGTATTTAGCTTGTTTCATTCACTTAGCTTTATTTCACTGAATCTCTAAGGCCCTCTAATTAAGGTAAGCGAAGTAGGTGTGCGGATGCTGCTGCAGCACCCCTGATGGGTGTTAGACGATAGGCTTGTCCAAGTACATAGTGAAAAAAATTAATGGGAAAAAACAACGAATGCAGAAAAATTATTAGGGCTTCATCTTAAATCTGCACTTTGATTTCCAACATGGCCGATCACTTGGAACAAGGCATCGAATCCCCTTGTATTAAAGGCCTCACTCACCCACAAAGCCGTGCTCCCGGTTTTCCAGATTCTCGAGCACCTGCAGGGAGATGCAGGGATTGTTGTTAAGTGTAAAACACACGACTGAACTGCATCATGAACCTAATCACTGCAACAATCAGCACTTACAGGAGCATTATCTGTGGGTGTGTCTGCAGCTGAAGGACCTGGAGGGCAAAAATAAACAAATAAAAACAGATCAAATGCCTCAGTTAGTTGAACTGACATGTGTTTTATCGCTTGGAAAACGTCAATACCTTAGTAAATACTTGTGACAGTATGACAAAGTAATATAACGCCAGTACTGCAGTAACACGACTTCAACAAACATCCAAACCGACCGTGTGACCAGGACAGCTCCAGATTAGAGTAAAGTGGAAGCATCTGTAACGCTTAAAAGGTGAAACCGTTCAGAAATAAGTTGCTGTTATTAGTCTGGAAACTCTTACAACATCACACAGATACTTTACTATGTTGTTAGTACAACCTCAGTATTTTTAAGCTATTTTCCCATCTAATAGTAAAAAGCAATTTTTGATGGCAGCAGTCCAACTGGGTGAGGTCCTTTTGTTGAAACACTGTGCCTGCTGGTTTACTATAATTGCACATGGAGACATAATGTAACAGGATCGTTGTTAATATTATTTCCACCAGTGCTTCTCATGCTGTGCCAAGTTCAAACGTTGGCTGTGAAACAGGAAACTGAGAGTTTTCCATCAGAATTTGTTCAGGAGTTGTGAACAGATGCATGTTCCCTTTACAAAAGCATGTTCTTATGTGTGTTGGTTCACAGGAAGCTTGGTGTCTGTGAAGCTCTACGTGCAGACACTCACACATTTAGAACAAAGGCTTTGTTTGCCGAGCTGTCATTTGATTTCAAACTGGGAACGAATATTATTCTGATGTGAAGACTCATTAAAAGCCACCAGTAGTTCCTCAGCTTTTAATCACCTTAAAGTGAAGGCGGACAACAATGTTTATATCACAGTCTTTGTGCATGTGTGAGCTTGGTTGTCTTCTTCTTCTTCTTTTTTTGGCTTTTCCCACAGCGAGTCGTCCTCCTCCATCTCCCTCAGTCCTCTGCATCCTCTGTCCTCACTCCAACTACCTCCATGTCCTCTCTAACTGCATCCATATATCTCCTCTTTGTCTTTTTCCTGGCAGCTGCATTTCTAACATCCTTCTACCAGTATACCCACTGTCCCTCCTCTGGGCATGTCCAAACCATCTCAGTCTGTCCTCTCTAACTTTGTCTCCCAGTTGTTCAACCTGTACTGTACCTCTGATGATCTCATTTCTGATCTTATCCATCCTTGTCACTCCTAAGGAGAACCTCAACATCTTCATTTTTGCCACTTCCAGTTCTTTCTCCTGTCTTTTTGTCACGGTCTCCAGACCATACAACATAGTTGATCTCACCTCTGTCTTGTGAACTTTTCCTTTGACCTTTGCTGACACCCTTTTGTCACAAATCATCTTCTCCTCTTTACCACACTTTTCAATTTCCTGGACAGTGGACCCCAAGTACTTGAAGTCCTGCACCTTTGTGACCTCTGCTCCTTGTAGCCTCACTGTTCCACCAGTCTCCCTCTCATTCACACACATGTATTCTGTCTTACTACGGCTGACTTTCATTCCTCTTCTTTCAAGCGCATACGTCCACCTCTCCAAGTTCTCTTCCACCTGTTCCCTGTTCCCACCACAGATCACAATGTCATCTGCAAACATCTTATTCCACAGGGATTCCTGACTGACCTCATCTGTTAGTCCGTCCATCATCAGAGCAAACAAGAAGGGGCTCAGAGCCGATCCTTGATGCACTCCCACCTCCCACCTCGAAGCTATCTGTCACTCCTACACCACTGTCCTGCTGTCCTCATACGTGTTCTGTACCAGTCTAACATACTTCTCTGACACTCCAGATTTCCTCATGCAATACCACACCTCCTCCCTCGGCACTCTGTCGTATGCGTTTTCTAAATCCACAAAGACACAATGAAGTTCTTTCTGACCCTCTCTGTATTTCTCCATCAGCATCCTCAAAAAAAGATGGCATCTGTGGTGCTCTTTTTTGACATGAAACCATACTGCTGCTCTCAGATATCTTTCCTCTAAGTCTAGTTTCCTCAAATCTCTCCCAGATTTTCATTGTGTGACTCATCAACTTAATTTCCCTCTAGTTGCTACAACTCTGTACATCACTCTTGTTCTTAAAAATGGGCACCAGCACACTTCTTCTCCATTCCTCAGACATTTTCTCACCCTCAAATATGTCATTGAATATCGAGTAAAAAAAACTCACTGCGATCTCTCCAAGACATTTCCAATTGGCTTATTTGCCTGTGTCAGTCACAAAATCATGAAAACAAATTTTACTGAAACTTAGAGCGTAACCACTGGGCTGACGTCTACAACTGACCACCTTTTCAAGTCAAATAATTCAAAATGGCTGCCACAGCAAAGCAACCTCAGCTAACACAAAAATGGCTATAAATCAATAGGTTTTACAGATACTGGGCTAAAATTTTGGAGTGGTAGTAGCTGAGACTAATCCACAATTTATAATCTGAGTTCTGATGGATAAGATTAAAACCTCTGCCGTTACCTATTGGAGTCAACTCTGTTAGCAACGAGTTTCATGAACTACTGGATGAATTTTAATGAAACTTTCAGATAGAAATCATTAAAGGTCTATCTACAACTGATTAACGTTTGGACTCAACTCAGTTTAAGATTGCTGCCACAGCCAAAAGACCTTAAAAACACAAAAGTCGCAACTCAACTAAGTATACAGATATTTAGCTAAAATTTGGTGTGGTAGTTGCAGTAAGTCACTCTCAACATAATCAATTGCATGAGATGGAGCATAACGTTATTCTTCAAGGTTTAACTTTGACCAAAACAGATGCAAGATTTCTGAACATGAGATGATCTTCAAGTTCAAGTTCAAGTTTCTTTATTGTCATTCACATGTGGTGCATGAGGTGGAACGGAATTATGCATTCAAGGTCCCAGTTACATCCAACAACAGCAAAAATATAAAGTGTAAAAGAGACAGTATACAAGGAGCTAAGATACACGCTAAATGAACGCCAAACGGTACGCTAAAAGATCTAATACGATAAACACTAATATTATAAAATAATACGATGTATTAAACAGCAGCGCAAATATGAGTCTGTGGTGAGCAGATGGGTATGAATACAGAAGCATGAGCTAATCAGCAGCATGAGATCAGCAGCATGGATAATCAGCAGCACAGATAAGTCACATATCACCAATTAAAGTGGCATTACACTGATTTTCTTTTCTTTTTTTAACAGTTATTTTTCTGGTTAGGGATTTATGAGTCTAACAGCTTCAGAATCTTAGTCTAAAACTGGCCTGAAAGGTAACGAGTTAACCCTGAAAAAGACAGTCCTTATAAGAACTGACCATAAGGAGTATCATAATCTTAAAAGAAAATAATAAGTTGTTGACAGTTTCTTGAAAACTAATATAAAACATCTTACAGAGAAAATACGAGTTATTTTAAAAAGTATCTCCTCGTGAAAACTGTTTTAGTTAAATAAGGTACGAAACTCTTAGTGAGATCTGTGTCTTTTGCAAGAGGAACTTGGAAACAAAGTGGAAATCGTTTGTTCAAAGTAGGCTATTCATCACACAAATCCACAACCAGACAGATTTAAGGAATCATTTATTCCATATTTTTTTAATTGAATCTCCTTTTTTGGATTACAAGGGTCACTGATGCCCATATCTAGCAGTTAATGTGCGAGAGGTGGAGGACAATCTGGACAGGTCTCCAATCCATTACAGGGACAGAGACAAACAACCATTCACTCTCTCACTCACACCTAGAGACAATTACCAATCAGTCTAACACGCATGTTTTTGTTGTGTAGGAGGAAACTTGAGTACCCGGAGAAAACCCACACATGCATGGAGAGGACATGCAAACTCCACCCAGAAAGGCTCTTTGGCCAGAATTTGAACCAACAACCTTCTTGCTGAGAGGCGGCAGCTCTAACTGAGCCACCGTGCAGTTACAGTTATCACAATCAAATTAGAAAAATAATTTTCTGTTCTAGGCCAAAATATGAATTAATTTTAGTGCTAATGAGGTCGTTAACACCTGGTGAAGTAACTGGATTACTGAAGTCAACAAAAGAAATATATCCAAACATTTTCCTTTGATTTCAGATATGAAAAAACACCATTAATCGTGTTCAGATCACTATAATTACCAGTGGACCTATTGTTTAGTAACACTGTTTATACTTGTTTGACACCAATGACAGTAATATGTTAAACATGTTACTGGATACGACAATAAACGTCAAAAAATCATTTGAAGATCATAATGAACAAAAATCACTAGATACAGGGTTAATAAACAAACATAAGGACATGGAAACTTTACATTTTTTGCAAGTAAAATTTAAAAAAATGTTTTGGTATTTATAAAGAAGATCAGAAAATACAATTACTGAGACAATTAAAATGTAAAAAATAATTTAAAAAGACATCCGTCAAGTTTTCAAACATAATTTTCTATGTCCTTTGATAACTTTCAAAACAAAGCTGTGTTACTTTTGTAGCATTCTACAGATGAGTATTTACTTGCGTGGTTCTGTTAAAAAACGTGAATTTACACTAATAAGCAAAAATGAACTAATTTAAAATACATTCAAACAAGCCTCCAAGTAATTTAATCTACAATTAATTTACAGTAACTCTTATTTTGAATCTTAAATAAGTACAACTTCCGGTCATGTATTTAGCTTTGTTTAGCCACTAAGCTAACACCGACTGTGCTGTTGGTGTGTTCGCTCCACTTACCGAGCCAAAGTAAAAACACAGCGAATAGTTTGCATCTGTTCACCACAATATAAACTGGCATGATCTCCGTGCTGCCTGTTTTAAACCAAAAGAGAGAAATTGTTTTAATTCATCCCTGCGCTCTGCGTGCCTGTCGGCTACTGGCGGGGCTGTAGCGCCTCCTAGCGGACAGTAGCACAAGTACACGTTTTATTCTTGGTCACAAAACCAGTTTGTTACAGTCCAGGGACGTATAGTTCTAAAACATAGGTACTTGTCACAAAGTAAGTAAGTAAACTTTATTTATATAGCACTTTTCATGGATAAAATCACAAACTGCTTTGCAGAAATACAGATAAAGGCTTAAAACAAAACAATAACAGCTGATAAAAACAGTAAGAACAGCTGAGTAAGTGGTAAAACTACTCATATTTGTGAGTGACTCTCAGCTTCTACTGCAACAATTCATTTTAGCTCAGTATCTATAAAATGGACCTAATTAAAGTGATTTTTTTTCAAAGGTCAGTTGGCTGTGGCAGCTATCTTGAGTTTTGAGTCCAACACTACATGATTAGGTTGAAGGTTCAAGGTGACTTTGTCGTCATTCGCATCACATGTGGTACTTGAGGTGTAACAAAACTGTGTACTCAAGGTCCAGTTACACCCAAAAATAGCAAAAATATAAAGTATAAAAAACATAAACCATATACAAGGATCTAAGATAAACTCTAAACAATAATAGTGTAATACAATATGATGTATTAAACATGAGTCTGACGTGAGCAGATGGGTATGAATACAGCAGCTTAAGGCAAGAATCAGCAGCACAGATAAAGTAGCAAATCTTCAATTGAAGTGGCATTATTTGTCTGGATTTATAGGTTGAACAGCTTCAGGGTAGAAGCTGTTCATCAGTCTAGTGGTTCTACACTTAATGCTCCTCAACCTCCTGCCTGAGGGGAGCGGGGCAAAAAGAGTGTGTGCTGGGTGAGTGGGGTCCTTCATGATGCATCTGGAGGTGTAGATGTCTGTGATAGTGGGGAGACTGACTCTAACAGACTTCTGTGCAGCCTTCACTACTCTCTGCAGAGCTTTTCTTTCTGCAGCGGTGCAGCCTCCATGCCACATGTTGATGCTGGAGCACAGGGTGCTCTCCACTGCACACCTGTAGGTCAATCAAGCTTAACCCTCAAATCACCGTAGGGACCAAACGTGGACATTCTGCTTATTTGACATTTTTGATAGATTTATTATACTGTGTATGGCATATATTAATTAAAAAAAAATAAAATAAATGTATTTGATTGGTGTGAAGATGTTGAAAAGATTTGATCCAGTGGAAGTAAAAATATATCCATTAGATGCTTTGGGTTTTAGGGTAAAAGGTGTAAGGTTTTTGAATAAACTGTCATTGCTCCAAAAATTAATAATGCATCAAGATCAATGTGGTTATCAGTTATTGATCTAGTCAAGGCAGCTATAACCTCATGCAGATATTCCACTTTGCACCTCAGTTATATGAAATTATTGCATATTTTGTGTTTATCCCATTTTTTTTTTTTAAATCACAGCTTTTTATGACAAAAAAGTATAAACATGTAAACAAATATGAGAAGATAATCAAATAACTTTGTCTATAGTTAGGTCTGAAGTTGAAAAGATTTGATACAGTGGAATATGGCTCAAAACTTCTGCTCTCTCTCTCAAAACTAATGCTTGCTTGCATTAATTTTGAGAGAGAGAGCAGAAGTTGTGAGTCCAAGCATTACAAGTTTTGAGAATAAAGAGATGAAGTCCTGCTTTCGAACACAAAATGTGCCCTCTCCATTAATGGCAGGATAATTCTTCCATAGTGGAAGTAAATTCAAAAATCCCTTAATGTGCTTCGAGGGTTAAACAAATGATGCAATGACTGTAAGTAAATCAGACTTAACCACAACAAGAATAAAACACTGATAAGTTCATGTAGGAGACATTTACCTTCACTGATCCTCTGGGTACAGTTGTTTTATTCTACAAACAAATAAGGGCCCAGTGTAATGTGTGACATATTTCATCTGAGGATGATTGATAAATAATGAATAAATCAAACTAGAGAAATGTGTGACTGTTGAGTGCAAATTGACTTGGATCATCCTTATTAACGAAGCCCAAACAGACTTATTGAAACTGAAAAAATGAACACTAAACCTTAAAAATCCAAAAGTAGCATAACTGGCTAAATGGTAGCTAAAGGCTAAAAGTAGTAAAATGCTAACTAATAACAGCAAATACTGTTAGATCTAAAAATAGACAATGCTATCTAAAAGCAGTAAAGTTAGCTAAAAGCTAAAATAGCAAAAGGCTATCTAAAAGTAGCTCAAATATAGCTAAAGATTAAAATAGCAATGGTGCAAATAAAAAGCTAAACATAGCAAAACACCATCTAAATGTACCAAAGCACTATCTAAAAGCTAAAATGTAGCAAAACAGTAGCTAGAAGGTAAAAGTAGCAAAACAATAGCTAAAAGCAGCAAAAAGCCAGATTAAAATTATAGGAAAAGATTATCTAAAAGCAGCTACGTTGAGCTAAATCTCAAAATAGCAAAAGGCTATGAGAAAGTAATCTAGCAAAAACCTAAAGTAAAAAAACGGTAGCCAAGAACTAAACTGTTTTGTAACAGTAGCTAGAAGCTAAAAGACGGAAAGGACTAGCTAAATGCAGCTAAAGTTAGAATAAAATGCTATAATAGTAAAGGTTTTAGCAGCAAAGTTTTTTTGTTTTTGTTTTCTCTTCTTTCGGCTGCTCCCTTCTTTAGGGGTCGCCACAACGAACCAAGTTGCAAGAAGACTTGACAATGATATTTACACCGGATGTCCTTCCTGACGCAACCACAGACCACCGAGCTACCACAGCCCTCTGTGTGGAGCAGAGAGTTGCCATCTATGGTACCCGGGGGAGCTGATGGTGGCGGTTAAGGGCCCTGCTCAAGGGCCCAGAGTGGAGCAAATGAGGATAGGGGTAGGTGTGGGTGCTTCACATTTCCCACCCACATTTTGATGTTGTCGATAGCTGAACTGACGATCTTCCGATCACAGGCTCACCTTCTCTAATCTCTGCGCCACCACTCCCCTTTTTTTAAAGTTTACTTAAAAGCTCAAAATAGCAAAAGGCTATATGAAAGCAACAATAAACTAAAAAAAAAAAAGGGTAGCCAAAAGCTAGTAGCTAAAAGCTAAAAGAAGCAAGGCCTAGCTAAATGTAATCAGCACCAAAATGTTACCTTAAAGCAACAAAAGGTCAACAAAGTACTAATAATTTATAAAGGCTATCTCAAAACTGAAGGTTAAACATCAATAGTAAATGATTAGCTAAAAGTAGCCAAAGGCTAGCTAAAACTAAAAGTAGCAGGATTGTAGATGATAGCCCTCTAATGTTCAGCGTGCGTATCGCCCACACTGTTTGAGCCCAAAACTTGAAAATATACACGATGGCATGTAAACACATCACACTCAGAGTGTTTCAGCTACTTCCACGTCAAATTCTTGCTGAATATCTGAAAGAGTGAAAACGTTTATTTCTCTTGTTGACGGTGCAGACTGCCGGAGACCTTCAGAGCAAACGAGTCAACGATCTCCTCACCACAAAAGGCCCCAAACAAACCTGTGAAACCATATGTTGGTACACGTTTGTTGTGAAGACCATGTGAAGTGTAAGTTCTTCTAAACCATAAATGTGTTAGAGCAAAACCTGAGCTGTGCACAAATAAACAAAAGCAGAAAATCACATGAAACTTTCCCAACAATTTTTATATTATCTTCTATTTTGTGTTTTAATGAGTTGGATGTTCTGCTTGCTGTTTGTTTTTAAAGCACAGAAGAAGAAAAAATCACTGGATCTGATCCAGGTTGCTGGTTGTGTTTAATCACACAGTCAGATAACCACAACAGGAAACAGAATATTGAGCCTTTCAAAATAAGAACCTCAGCACTGTCAGGTTGTAAATAAATAAAAGTTTGATTACAGGTGCTTTATTCCTACACACATACATATTTTTTCAGAAACTGTTGAGATATATAATTTGAAAATAACTCAATATTGAAACAGTCCTCATTATGACTCGTGCACACAAGTGTGCATTAGTTTTTTTTTTTTTTTTGTTTGTTTTTTTTTACCTTTATGTATACAGGATAGTTTCAATTTCAAGACAGACCTATCTGCATGTTTCCTGGTTGTATGCGTGCTATGGTGTGTTTTGTAATGTTTAAAGTGATTGTTTATAGTTTTTTGCCGATTCAGTTGTTTTATTAAACTAAAATGTAAATCATCATCATAATTGTTTAAAACAATCACAGAGGTGTTTGAATTACATGTTTACAGAACCCGTTATCTTTAAGACATTGGAAAACACATAATGAAACACTTAAAACTTTTTATTTCCAAAAAACTAAAAATCGATAATCGAGAAAACAACTGCAAAAACAACACATTTCACTGAACGCAACGATCTAAAACTTTTTTTTGTTAAAGAAAAGTCACAACAGAAAATATTTTACAGATCAGTAACAACAACAGAATGGGATATTTTACAACACAGAATGGCCAAAACAACAAAAAGGTTAAATCATGTCATCTGCAGTTTCTTTAAGTGAGAAACGTTTTGTCCCCCATCCAGAGGACTTCCTCAGTCTGCAACCTGCCAACTAGATCTGTTCCATAGGTAGCCTTCAGTGTTGTGTTTCAAGCCAGCCTACTGTTGGAATCTCTAAAGTAGACTTTAACCTGTGCAAAACACCCGGCTAAAACAATCAATCATCATGCACAACAATCAAATGTTTTAGGCAAGATGGCCAACTTGTTACTCACAGAAACAGCCTGAGGACAACCAAGGCCAAAGTGGTTCAGAAAAAAGGTTGTAAGCTCAATCATCCCAGTAGAGAAAAAAAAAAAAAGATTAAATTGTGTCATCTGGACCAGTTTCTTTAAGTGAGAAACTTTGACTGACTAAGTCCTCTGGATAGGGAACAAAACATTTCTCACTTACTGGTCCAAATGACATGATTTAACCCTTTTTGGTGTTCTCTACCTGGATGATGAGCTTACAAACTTTTTTTTTTACTTTTTTTTTTTGAGAATGGCCAAAAGTTAAAATAATCCCACAACAAACAAGATAGATCACAATAAAACAAACAACATTGTTTTATATAATGTCATGTTGTTATTCTGTTTTATTGTTTTCACCAAACACTTTAAAACACATAAACCTGGTATTTTCAGTCTTTAATTAACCTAAATAAACTGCATGGCCCAAAAAAAGTTGCCACCTGGATTTAACTATGCAAATATTTACAAGCCTCCTATTGGATAATTACTGCATGAGTGATTATCTTTCAGCTGACAACAAGTTATTTAAGCCCAACTGGTGCAATGAGTTGCTTCTCATTTCTTAAACAACCATGTGGAAAGACACATCGCGTGGTCGTGGAAAAGATGTCAGTCTGTTTGAGAAGGGTCAAATCATTGGCATCAAGCAGAGAAAACATCTAAGGAGATTGCAGAAACTACTAAAATTGGGTTAAGAACTGTCCAACGCGTTATTAAAAACTGGAAGGATAGTGAGGACCCATCGTCTTCCAGGAAGAAATGTGGCCTGAAAAAAATCCTGAATGATCGTGATCGGCGATCACTTAAACGTTTGGCGAAATCAAATAAAAGAAAAACAGTAGCACTCAGAGCTATGTTTAATAGTGACAGTAAGAGCATTTCCACCTGCACAATGTGAAGGGAACTCAAGGCAATTGGGACTGAACAGCTGTGTAGCCTTCAGAAAAACACTAATCAGTGAGGCTAACTGAAAAAAAAAAGGCTTCAATTTGCTAGGGAGCATAAAGATTGGACTCTGGAGCAATGGAAGAAGGTCATGTGGTCTGCTGAGTCCAGATGTACTCTGTTCCAGAGTGATGGGTCCATCAGGGTAAGAAGAGAGGCAGGTGAAGTGATGCACCCGTCATGCCTATGGTGCCTATCACAAGATCTTGGTGAAAAAATAATGCAATGCTGGATGGAAATAGATCTTGTGACATTGCAGAAGCTTATGGAAACAATGCTACAGTGAATGCACGCTAGTCAAAGCTAAAGGCGATCCCATGAAATATTAGTGACCCTTTTTTTTCTTTCTTTTTGGACAGGCAGTGTATATATGCTTAATGTTTGTTAAGTTGGCTATTATTTATTTATTTATTTATTTTCATATGAACCCACTAAACAAACCAACACCGGCGTGGACTTGCTCGTTGCGCGCTTTTATTTTGTCAGACACAAACCGGACGTGACGTTGTTACGTGTAACGTCTAAACTTGACCGTAGCGGGCTGAAGTTTTCTTGGACCTTCGTCCGCATTAAAAACAGCATCTTGAGGAGCTGCAGGAGGACAGCGTGGCAGAGTGACGGTGGGAGTCATGCCCAGCAGCCGGGTGACGGTGACAGAAGTGGGGGAGTTTCTTAAAAACCCTCCGAGCGGTTTCTCCGTGGAGACGCTCGCTTCGTGTTTCCGAGTCAACAACGACGACGGAAACAAAAACCTCGTCCTGATCGACGAGTTCGAGTCCAGCAAAGGGAGGATAGTTTTCCACAACTCCCTGGGAAGGTGAGAAGGTCGCACTCTCGTGTATAAATGTGTGCACGAGCTCACTCTTTTTTTGTTGTTGTTTGTTTGTTGTTTTTTTTCCTCCCCGACAGAAAAGTGAAAATGCAGAATTTATGGGAGTACACGCGCATGAGAAGGAGTCTGCTGTCCAAGAGGATCTATCTGCGCATGTGTGTCTGCGAGCCAAGGCTCCCAGAGAGCACGAAGAAGGAAACAAATCAGCCCAGAGGTAACTTTTGATGCTTCTAATGAAATATAAATAAATAAATAAAAATGGCCACTAAAGCTGTGCAGGCATGAGCAGATCACAGACAGCTGTGACGTCACTTTGACAGCAGCCCAGTACGTGGTATCAATCGATGGTGGGGACCCTTTCATCCGGTGGCAGATGGAGAGGGGTCTGGACTGGACCATCTCCTCCGTGGCTGGAGAGAGCTACAGGGTGGACGTGAGCAGGACTTTGTGGTGTTTCTTTTGTTTGGGACGCTTTTATGTCTTTTGTATCGCCATAGAAGATAGAAGTGACTTTTTTTGTCCTTTCAGATTGACTTGACAGAAGCTTTGGAGAGCTTGGTTCCTGAAGGCATCGTCTCAGAGGACCTGATGAGATGTAAACCTGTGTGGAAGGACGCCTGCTTCACCCTCAAATATTACTGCGACGCCCTCTTTGACTTTCCGCACTGGTTTGGCTTCAGCAAAAGAGCCTTTAAGGTAAGTTGTCTGCTGTGCTACTTGTTTAACGTGTACGTTGAAATGAATGTCTGCTAATGGGAACTCTTCCTGTGTCTCCATTGAAGCTGAGACTGACAAAAAACAGCTGCGGGTGAAAAACGAAAAGAGGCAAAGAAAAGTTTATTGTCTGCGTTTTCCGTGGCGCCTGTTGCTCCTTCGCCAAGAAAACTGAAAGAAAGAAAAACGTTTTCTTATGGACAAATGATGGTTCATTCACAACAACAAGCAGGTTTTCATCCCAGTCATTCTGCAAAGGGACTGATGAGATTGAGGTCTGATTTATTTATTCTTTGCCAAACAGAAATGCAATAAAAATGCTTTTACGTGCAAAAGTAAAGCTGAACTAAGGAAGGAGCAGAAGAGCCGACGCAGCGCCCGTGATGGTCTCCACGTATTCTTTATAGTCCTGACCGAAGTACCGTCCCATCAGGTAGTTGAAGATGCCCACGATGCACATCAAGGACAGGAAGCTGATGATGCGCTTGCCAAACAGGTAACCCGGAGTGCTGCACAAGAATCAAGATTTAGCCACGCAAGTCTTGTAAATGTATACAGCTGATACGTTACCATATTTTTCGGACTATACGGTGCACCGGATTATAAGGCTCACTGTCGATTTTTTAGAAAATTCAAGAATTTTAAGTGCGCATTATAGTCCGAAAAATACGGTACTTCAATCTGCCTAGATTACCTTTGAGAGGTCTGTCCCAAATATCCAATAAAGTACTTCTGTCTGACAAGAAGGTAGATAATTCCAGCGAAAGCAGCAGGAGCTTCAAGGAGAAGTTAGAAAACAAACGGTTTATGACGTACCAGATGAGATAAAAACTGTTCGTGTGTTGATAAATGTGTGTTCAACTTGGATGTAAAGTTATTCATGTAAACTGTAAAGTTTAGCCTATTGAATGTGCAGCGCTACAGTTCATATCTTTGGAAGTGAAGCTCTGTGGAAAGATTATGAATAACAAGTATCTTACCTGTTGTAGGTGGCTCTTTGAACAACCAAAGTTTGGAAAATAATCAAGTTTAATTCCGATCAAATCGATGAGTGAACTGTGAGTCCAAGCAGGACCAAAACCCAAGTGGATTTCTCTTTTATTAAAAAAATTATGGCTGTTTACACGAGTTCTGTTTTTCTAAACCTGCTGTTAATTTCTCATTACATGGTTATTTATACACAGGGTTCCTATTCTGTCTTTAAAAAATATGGGCAACAATAAATGTAGTTTTTCAGGAGAAAACCCATTTTCCTTTTCATGGTTGGTGTATAAAATGGATGTTTTAGACCAATTTAATAATTTGCTTCATAAAGTAGAATAGTCCATTTTATTCTCTGACTAGCTGTTAGCTCATCATCTGGTCAGAACTGAACCTATTCTGAACTGAGGCCGGTCAAAGAGCTATCTACGACAGGTAAGATGTTTGCTGTTTTTACATATCCTCAGCTGCCCTCGCCAAGAAACATGAACTGTCCCCTTAAGGCCTAGAAACATCTATAACCTGTATAGTTTTTCTTCTATATTACTAATTATTATCTAAAGTAATGTTTACAAAATTATAGCTTCATTTTTTTTTTTTAGTAGCAGCAGATTAAACAACCGTTGATTTAACTTACGAGGTTGTTCCTGAATCATTCCACACAATTAAAACAACTCATCTTGTATAATAAAGTGGTTGTACATTATTTGAATATTTTTTTATCTGAATAAACTTGTAACTTTGGGTGTGAATTTGAATTTATTGTCATTCCAATGGCGTTAATCATAGTTTGCGAGTATAAAATACGCAGATAAACGTCGACTGAACTTCCCTCACGTGAGTTTACAACTAATGACTGTGAGTGATAGTGTAAATAAAATAAAGCACGCCTTTGTCTCTGGTTTAATGATTACCTTGACTGAGACAGAGCCCGGCACACCACATCACTGCCAGGAAGGTGGGATAGGCATCCATGCAGTTCCGGCTACAAAAACAAGCAATAACTGTAATTAACACTTTTTAAGGAAGCTGCCTTAAGAAATCGCAGATGAGTTGCAGAACTCAAGCGCTGGGTGGCTGCTGGGAAATGTTTTGAAACTGCAGAGCTAAGGCTACCTTAAAAAAAAAAAAACCTCTGAACTGTAAGAGTGGATAAAAACCATAAAATGGAAAGCCAAGAAGAGTTACGCAGCATGTGAGCTGTTGCAACGCAACCAAACCCCGTCCCTTTAACTTCTTCCATCTTAAGGAAACCATTTGGAGAAAATGAGTCGGTCAAAGAAAATGTGGCTTTAATTATTTATCTTTTTTTAGTTCTATGGCACACTAGCAGGATGTTCAGTCAACAGTTGAGGTCTTTGTGTAAAGATTTGCATTTTTACGATCTAAAGTGAATATTTTTGGCTTTGATCATTGCACTGTGTATGCAAATCACAGCAACTCATGGACTCCCTTATGAACCACAAACTTATTTTAATATTTCTTGTTTTTCCAACATTTAGGGCCTGCGGTCTTGTAACCCCGAGGTTGCAGGTTTGAGCCCAGGTTGCATCAGGAATGGCATCCGGAGTAAAACAAATTGCCAAATCTTTCACGTGAGCTCGCTCGCTGTGGCAACCCCTGAAAAAGGGAGCAGCCGAAAGAAACTTTGAGGTCCTCACTCAAAAACAGGAAGTGGTTCAGACATTTTCTGTTAAAACCAGGAAGTGTTGCTTTTTTTTTTTAATTAAGAACTACAATTTACAAACAAACCAAGGCAAACAAAGTAACAGTTAAATTTCACAGGTTGTATACGTTCACAAAATATGAAATAATACAAAAAAATTATAACAAGGAACAAGAGTAGAGGTTTACATCAAATTAAAGTTATTAATAAAGTATAAAGTTGTTGAGCAGATTTACTTTGAGCCAAATTAAGAGACTCAAAAACATTTCAGGTAGTTTTCCCAATGACATAAATTTGGATTCACCTTAAAAAAATTACATTTATGAACAAAATCTTTCCTAGTAATATTAGGTTCTTAATTAAAATGTCTTATTTTAGAGTTTTGAAAGCAAACACCAAATGTTATTATTGTTAAAGTCAGAGTTGGCAGTTCAATTTCCTGGGCCTGAAGCAAACAGCACATACTGCTCCAAACAGGAAGTGTTGCATCTTGTAGAAAGACTTGTGACTGGATTTAAAGGCATAGTTTGGATTTTTTATTTTTTTTTTAAGCAGTGTTATGTGGAAAAGTTCATGAACTATCTGTTGCGGATAGTTTTTCCAATCTCAGTTTGGAGAAACAACATTAAAATCTGTCTGGATTGATGAGCTAAAGGCTAGTCTGAGTGGGGGCCATGACCAAGTGAGTTAAATCAACCTCCAACCTTAAACGTTTCACACGAGCGCTGTTTTATAAAATCTTTACATCACCTTTAGTTTAATTTTTCAGTTATTTTCATAGATTTCTATATTTATTTAGCACATTTCACGCCAGCAGCTAGCTGTAGCACACCCATGACAGAGTGGGGAACTTTTTGGAATATAACAATATTTTGGCTGGAATAACCTCGTAGTGCAAAACTGACCTGCTTGGTTGGTAGCTCATCAGTCCAGTCAGAAATAAACTATTTCTCCAAATGAAGGCCGAAGCGCTATCTACAACAGGTAAGATACTAACTGTTACCCTACTAAGATCTCAATAAGAGACCTGAACTATCCCTTTAAGACTGAGGTGTTACATCACTTGGATATGAATTTGTAGTTTTAGTCAAATTGTCAATGACGTTAAGCATTTATAGAGTATAGTTTGGTATTTTGTCATTAACTTATTTTTTCACAGTATTACTTGTACAGTACTTTTTGTTGCTTCCACTTCTTCATTTCTGTCTTTATAGCATCATATTTTATTCCTTCAGTACATTTTTTTTAAGAAAGAAAGTAACTCTTGTGTGGCATAGTAAAGAACAAAGAAGTAAAAACAATATACAAGGGGTGTTATTATTCTGTCACAGGATTTACTTTCCACTTCAGGAGGATTACACCTCAGTGGGAGTGATATTTATTGCAAAATGACAAAACGTTGAAAAGAAAAACGGTCAAAGCTAAGCATGTCTCGTCTAGTTTTGAATGATTTTTCAGACTAACGGGGAGAAAAGGGTACTTACTTGGCACAAGACACTCGCTCAAAAGCAGATGTGTGGGAGTGATTGCTGCACTCCCTCTCTACCTTTTGAGCAAAAAATACTGAAAATACAAATGAAAAAGGATTACTCATTTCTTTACTTTTTTAGAAGTAAGAAAAATATGTTTTCTTTACCATTCTGAAGAACACTGATGAGTGTGACGATGACCAGGAGGAAGATATTTTCCACCTCGACCCTGCAGGAGTCCATGGCTTTCATGCGAGCTGCTGTGAAAGATGCTCTGTTGTGTACAAAAACACACATTTGACTTTATACCCTTGTGATGATGCTCTCTGTATGACATAATTTACTCCCCAACACACAAGCACAGCATCTGACTTCCTTTTTATGAAAATGATGCTCTGGCTCAACACAGAGGTTGCATGTTTACTTCCCCTGACAAATTGTACTCGCATGCAAACACACAGATCCATGCTTTGCAAATTCTGCCTCTGGATACATTTCTGGGAATTTTGTTTTTTGACTATTAATGGTTGACCACATATTACCTGAGTAGTAGACCTTTATAATCTTGTTTTGGAAAACTACCCACAAGTGTATAAATCTGACCAATTATAAATTTATAGTCATATCAATAAAAAAAGTTTTAAAAAGTATAATGAGATTCGAAAGAACTGTGCAATAAATATGTACTGTACTGTAAATGTTTCTCGTCACTCCAACAATTCAAAAAAAGAAACTGTCCAGATGACCTGACTAAAAATTGTTGGATTGCATGGACTTTTTTGGTTTCTCGTCTGTTTCGCTGCAAAATTAAATGCAGCTGTAGTCAAACAGCGACACCGTGTGGTAGGAAATGGAACTGCTCATTGAGCTTGTCTCCATTTTTATTTTCTCTATTAATGACAGCAAAGCTACGAAATTTTTTTTATTTTTGATACTATCTCAGACCTATGGAAGTTTCCGTACAGACGACATGTAGTCAATATTCCAAATATGATTCATAATTATGACATCACGACTGAAAACGGATATAAGCAGCACGCACCCAACCTCTAGCAACACTTCCCATATGGTCTAGCGGTTAGGATTCCTGGTTTTCACCCAGGCGGCCCGGGTTCGACTCCCGGTATGGGAACTGACAACTTTTTGTTTCCTGTTTTTAAAAGTATTGTTATTCAAAAAACCCTTTCGTCTCTTCCACTTCATATATTTTTCTGTGACATGAAATTACTTAAGCAAGTTTTGTATTGGAAGGGTTTCTTGTTCACTGAAGAATGGGACAGTAAAATAAAGTTTCTGTCTGCACCTGACCTGTTTTAGAACTTAATTGTTGGTATTTTTATATTTGTATTTTTTTTATATATCTTGTGTGATTCCTTGTGTATGTTCCTTTGTACTGAAACTCTGGCACAACAATTTCCGGGGGTTGGGGGAGAGGGGGTGTCAGTGAAGTTCTGTCTTAAGATTTGTCGTCAGAGATTCTTTGCAGGTCCATTTAAATCCTAAAAATAATAGATTTGGTTAAAACGAATAGTGCCCAAAACAGAACAAAATGTGTTCTTGCTGTAAATAGCCAACCTTTTAAAACAATTTAATTTAAAAAATTTAAATTAAACAAACTTGAGAAATTTCCATCAATATACATCATTTCCTTAACCTCTCTTTCTACTTTTAATAGATTTGTAAATATGCTGTACAGTAATCAAGACAAAATTTAATAACTTCAGAAATAGAACAATTTTTTTAATTCAAAAACAAAGCATGATGTGTTAACTCAAACATGTCAACAACAACAAATAAACAAATAAATCAACAACAAATAAAATACAAATTTGTACAGAAATGTTTAATTAACAATAAAAAATAGTTTCAAGTCAAAAACAAAAGGTGCAGAAAGTGCTTCTGCACAAGCCCATTATTACAGTAATAAAGTGCAATATCATGGAAAAATTAAAAAAACACATTTCCATTATACCACTTATAACAAACTTCAACGTTCTTTCCGAACATCAACGTATATGTACCATGAGACATACAGATGAGATGTGTATGTTTCCTTAAGGTTTATTGGTGCTTGCTGATGATATCTAGCACCACAGGTTAAACAGAAAAAGTTCGACCACACCCAGAGCTTTGATTTCTGTCAGTTGGCCTCAAAGCCGCACTGAATAAGGAAGTCATCCAGGAAGTTTTCACTTTCTGGCACATTTGTCCTATAGTGAGTCTGCGACGCTGCACCTGCTGCACTGACAGCATGCACGTTGTTCGCCCCCTCCTGTCCACCGACCAGCATCTCTAAGAAGCCGGTGCTGTCTGGTGAAAGGTTGCTGGCTGTCGTTGCTGGCGACAGCAGATCCGACAGGAAGTCATTGCCCCCCGAGCTGTCGTAGATACTGGAGGCAACGGTGCTGGGGGAGTTCAGCGCAGTGCTGTCCGGTTGGAGGCGATCCTGGTTACCCAACAGCTGGTTCAGCTTCGCGAGCTTCTTTTTCTTCGCTTTCAGCTTCTTGATTAGTTTGTATCTGAGGGCTTCAGTTTCACTGAGACCTGGAGGAACCTTGGAGGAGTAACTGTGTTTATTTATGGGCATCACCAGGGGGGGTGCTAGGTGCTTTGCAGGGATAGTTTGAGACAGTTTTGCATTACCGTTGGACAGGGGAGGGGATGGTAGCGGACTGAGGTTGGCGGAGCTCTTTGTGCCAAAGCCACCGTACATTTCTGCAGCTTTTGGTGGGAGACCCCTAATGTCCGTTGTGATGAGCTGAGGTTTAGGAAGTTCTGAAGGAATCATTTGTATCTTTGTGAGATTGGGAGTAGAGTGGATCGGTTGGAAGGACTTCACTTCAATGCCTGAAGAGGTTCTCTGTGTGGGTGTGGGGTTGGATGTGGACTTATTTAGAGGGTGCTTGCTCAGCAGGAAGGACCAGCGAGCGTTATAATCTAAGGGAGGACTTTTCTGGCTAGTGGACAGAGGTGAGGTGTCAGTTGAAGCCGTGGGGGATGCTTGCTGTGCAACTTCACTGGACAATGTGTTGTCCTGAGCAGCAGAACCAGTGGTTTCCTGACTGAGTGCGATGGGGAGCTCTGAGGGGGCGGGCGGTGAGGTTTGGGGAGCTTCTTCTGACATCGCCGCCTTTTTACCTCTCTGCTTGCTGATGGTTTTCTTTTGTCTCGTTCCTCTCCGTCGTCCTCTTTTGGCAGCAGGCGTTGACGCTGCATCGGTGGACGAGCTGTCGACTGACTCAGGAGGCTCGACGTCGGCGAGATGACACACGTCGCCACCTGCTGCAGGGAGGGAGCTGTCTGGTGAAGGCTCCGGCCTTTCATTGCTCGTAGGAGCACTTGCGTCTTGTGTTGGCTGTTTGTCGTTTAAGAGCTGCGCTCCTGAATCAGCTGGATCGACTGCCACTAGAGTGAGAGTGATGACGTCGTTGTGGCTAAGACCTTCAAAAGCGTCGAGCAGAGTTGTAGACCCTATTGAGGTGTCAGCTGGAGCTGCAGCGTCCATCAGATCTTCTGTGAGCGCACCTACAGTGTTGGGGTCATTGTGAAGCGTAGGAAGAGACTGATCTTGAGGCCGATCCAATGACTCATCGGCTCTTCGAATATGTAAACTTGGGGTTCTTTCCTTCTCAGGTGCAGGCTGTTCAGCGAATGTGTTCAGTGGAGAACCGGCAGGGGGGTCTGCATCCTCCTCTACCTCCCAGAAGACCACATGCATCTCATGAGCAGGGATCTGCAGCTCCTGATGGGTTTTAAAGTCCGTATGATTTAAGTCGTCATATTCCAGCCAAGCACCTATAGAAACACAAAACCCTTAGTGTCAACAAGAAGAGTTTGCACAGACAGATGTAATTAGAGTTAGGCCAAGGTTAATAATGCGTTTACTCTGAATCGTGATTAAATGATTCATCACAAAACAGCAAAACAAACAAAATAATTGTGGAATGAAGAACAAGACTGTAACCAGTTGTTTCTTTAACAGAAACACAGACTAAAATATGTTTAATTCACTTAAACCGGGTCTGCAGCTGGCAGCTCTGGGCCCACATGCAGATGTTTGGTCCCTCTGCAGACGCTCTCTGGAGCTTAACTCGGAAAAAATTAATTATATTTAAATTTAAAACCATGAGAAAACGATACAAATCTAAGACAAGTCATTTAAGGTATCTGCCTTTAAGAGAGGGAATTTATCAAGTTACAGGTATTTATTCTACAAACTGGCCTAATTTTGAATCTTCTTTCTACAAACAGGTGTCATTACTTTAAAAGGAGAAACTTACATTTTACACAAATAGAGAAAAGTTTCCAACAGTTTCCTGCATAGTTCAGTTTTATTTTAATAAAAATGGTGTACACATAAAATAAAAACAACAACTGGACCTCTGTTCTGTAGTTAAAGATGTTTCGTGTCTTATCTGGGGAGTTTCTCCAATTTCAAACTGGAGTGTGGAGCTTCAAAACTTAAACGGCATGAGAAGCTTTTATTTGTTCAAACGTAAAAATACCAACACTTTATTCCAGATCTTTAATCTCACATTTTTTACACCGGTTAGGAGTTGTGTTACATTTGATTTTAAGCTTCAGGTAAATTTTTGGGGCTAATTTTTTAAATTATAATAGGAATGACTCATTTGAATGTAAAGGCTGCAGACCTTTAAATATTGAAAAACATGAAATTCCACATTGAAATGCATACCGTCGTTACAAATCCAGGTGACAAAGTGCTTGAGTTGATGGTTGTACTGGATGACGGTGGTGACAGAGTAACGCTTCCCCTGGATGTTGAAGGTGAACGTAGTGACATCACAGTCAGGAAGCCCCTCCACAAAGTGCAGAGCAAACACTGGAGGTACGCTACATAACATGAAGCAGAAGTTTAGTTCAATAAACCATCAAGGTAAGGTCTGAGAAGTAGATTAGACCTACAGGTGCTGGTCATAAAATTAGAATACCATGAAAAAGTTGATTTATTTCAGTAATTCCATTCAAAAAGTGAAACTTGAATATTATATTCATTCATTACACATAGACTGAAAATTAGAATATTACATCAATAAAAAAAAGATTTTTAGAAATGTTGGCCAACTTTAAAGTATGAACATGAAAAGTATGAGCATGTACAGCACTCAGTACTTAGTTGGGTCTCCTTTTGTCTGGATTACTGGAGCAATGCGTCGTGATATGGAGTGGATCAGTCTGTGACACTGCTCAGGTGTTATGAGAGCCCAGGTTGCTCTGATAGTGGCCTTCAGCTCTTCTGAATTGTTGGTCTGGTGTATCACATCTTCCTCTTCACAATACGCCATAGATTTTCTATGGGGTTAAGATCAGGTGAGTTTGTTGGTCAATTAAGAACAGGGATACCATGGTCCTTAAACCAGGTACTGGTAGCTTTGGCACTGTGTGCAGGTGCCAAGTCCTGTTGGAAAATAAAATCTGCATCTCCATAAAGTTGGTCAGCAGCAGGAAGCATGAAGTGCTCTACAACTTCCTGGTAGACAGCTGCGTTGACCTTGGACCTCAGAAAGCACAGTGGACCAACACCAGCAGATGACATGGCACCCCAAACCATCACTGACTGTGGAAACTTGACACTGGACCTCAAGCAACATGGATTCTGTGCCTCTCTTCTCTTCCTCCAGACCCTGGGACCTTAATTTCCAAAGGAAATGCAAAATGTACTTTCTTTGGACCACTCAGGAGCAGTCCAGTCTGTTTTGTCTTTAACCCAGGCAACACTTCTGATGCCGTCTCTTGTTCAAGAGTGGCTTGACACAAGGAATGCGACAGCTGAAACCCGTGTCTTGCATAGGTCTGTGCGTGGTGGTTCTTGAAGCACTGACTTCAGCTGCAGTCCACTCTTTATGAATCTCACCCCACATTATGAAATGGGTTTTGTTTCACAACCCTCTCCAGGGTGCGGTTATCCCTATTGCTTGTACACTTTTTCCTACTACATCAGTTTCTTCCCTTCAGCTCTATTAATGTGCTTGGACACAGAGCTCTGTGAACAGCCAGCCTCTTTAGCAATGACCTTTTGTGTTTTACCCTCCTTGTGCAAGGTGTCAATGGTCGTCTTTTGGACAACGGTCAAGTCAGCAGTCTTGCCTACAGAACTAGACTGAGACGATTTAAAGGCATTTGCAGGTGTTTTGAGTTAATTAGCTGAGAAGAATGTGGCACCAGGCATCTTCAATATTGAACCTTTTCACAATATTCTAATTTTCTGAGATACTGAATTTGGGGTTTTCATTAGTTGGCTGTCATAATCATCAACATTAAAATAAATAAACATTTGAAATATATCAGTCTGTGAGTAATGAATGAATAAAATATACAAGTTTCACATTTTGAATGGAATTACTGAAATAAACTTTTTCATGATATTCTAATTTTATGACCAGCACCTGTAAGTGTTAGTACATTACAGCATAACGAGTGTTAGATATTTCAATTATTTATGAGTAATACTTAGATAAAGAACTTTACTAATTGGCTTTTCTATGTATATGAATATTCCTGTAAAGCACCCTGAGACAACTTTGTTGTGATTTGGCACTTTATAAATAAAATGAATTGAATTGAATGAATAAGATTATCAACAAAAAAGGTTGAATCATGTCATCTGGACTTCGTTTTTTTTGTT